TCATGGGCAAAAAAAAAAAAAAAATATATAATAGCAATTAAGGTTTCCAAGTACTTAGAATTTTTCCTGAGCCACCCTGTAGAGGGCAATATTATATATATATCTGGAATTATCCAGTTCTAACAAAAAATGAGCTCTTGTTCATGCATGAAAATCAGAAATATTTGATACTCTTAAAGAATACATTGGAACCAATATTATGATTAAAACATATTTTGCTTCAATTCCATCTTCTCTAATCAGAAGAGACCCTCACCATGGATACTTGCATGAGTCATCCAGGAAGTTTACTCAGTTTCTACAATGAGGATCTTAATAAATAAAAAAGTAAATAAATAAATAAATAAAAACATATTTTGCTAAGCAAAGAAATATTAAAAATTAATTCATTAACATTCTGAACATTTTTTAATTTGTAAAAACCGAATTTTGATGCCTTGAATATACAATGATTCATTATAACAATTATGCATAGACTTTGATAATCTGCATATTTTATGCTTCTTTATGTTTTTCCTAATTAATGATTTGACATGGTTAATAATTATAATATATTCTGCATCACAGTTCCATATTTATGTAAAATAAGCATTTAAAGATTATTAGTTTTATTCTACCTGCTTAAATTTTACTTTCCTCAAAAAGAGAAAACAAAAATGCTAGATTTTACTTTATGACTTGAATTATGTGGTAATGTTGAACTCTAGTATTTAAAATTAGAATGTTTCTTAGAGGTCGTGTCATTATTTTTATGTCCTAAGTGGATAATTTGTTAGCTCCTAGTAACAAAAGTCTATTGCTTATGTTTCACATTGTGGATTTCCTAATATAATGTTCTCTTTTTAGAAAAGGTGGACAAGTCCTATTTTCAAGAGAAGATGACTTTTAACAGTTTTGAAGGATCTAAAACTTGTGTACCTGCAGACATCAATAAGGATGAAGAATTTGTAGAAGAGTTTAATAGATTAAAAACTTTTGCTAATTTTCCAAGTAGTAGTCCTGTTTCAGCATCAACACTGGCAAGAGCAGGGTTTCTTTATACTGGTGAAGGAGATACCGTGCAGTGCTTTAGTTGTCATGCAGCTGTAGATAGATGGCAATATGGAGACTCAGCAATTGGAAGACACAGGAAAGTATCCCCAAATTGCAGATTTATCAACGGCTTTTATTTTGAAAATAGTGCCACGCAACCTACAAATTCTGGTATCCAGAATGGTCAGTACAAAGTTGAAAACTATCTGGGAAGCAGAAATCATTTTGCTTTAGACAGGCCATCTGAGACACATGCAGACTATCTTTTGAGAACTGGGCAGGTTGTAGATATATCAGACACCATATACCCGAGGAACCCTGCCATGTATAGGGAAGAAGCTAGATTGAAGTCCTTTCAGAACTGGCCAGACTATGCCCACCTAACCCCAAGAGAGTTAGCGAGTGCTGGACTCTACTACACAGGTATTGATGACCAAGTGCAGTGCTTTTGTTGTGGTGGAAAACTGAAAAATTGGGAACCTTGTGATCGTGCCTGGTCAGAACACAAGCGACACTTTCCTAATTGCTTCTTTGTTTTGGGCCGCAATCTTAATATCCGAAGTGAATCTGATCCTGTGAGTTCTGATAGGAATTACCCAAATTCAACAAATCTTCCAAGAAATCCATCCATGGCAGATTATGAAGCACGGATCATTACTTTTGGGACGTGGATATACTCAGTTAACAAGGAGCAGCTTGCAAGAGCTGGATTTTATGCTTTAGGTAAACTTTATTATAAAACCAATAAATAACTTCCCAACTATGCCAGGGCTCCTAAAAAGTAAATAGATGCCTTTAGCCCCCCGAACTGGTAAATATTTAGGTATAATTTGGCACGATTATACCTATATTCATCTTATTCTGTGAACACTTATGTTGAACCTGTAATGTAACTACTGAATTTATGTGAAAAAGACTACCATATTATGAGTCATGTTTCTCTTCATGTAATTGTTTTTAGGAAGTAATAACATGCAAAAGATGGTAGACATCCCCAATAACAAAATGGGTCTAATAAAATACTTCGATTTATTGAGCACCTATTATATGTGCACAATATGTATACTTCATGCATTTTCTCTAAGCTTCACAATAACTTTATTTTTTTCTTTCTTTTTCTTTCTCTCCTTTCCTTTCTTTCCTTTTCCCTCCCTCCCTTCCTTCCTTTCTTTCCTCCCCTCCTCTCCCCTCCTCTCCCTTCCTCTCCCTTCCTCTCCCCTCCCCTCCCCTCTCCTCCCCTCCCTTCTCTTCTTCGGGGTTTCACCATGACCAGGATGGTCTCAATCTCCTGACTTCATTATCTACCCATCACAGCCTTCCAAGGTGCTGGGATTACAGGCATGAGCTACCACACCCAGCCCACAATAACTTTAATAACTTTTTTTTATTTTTTTGAGACGGAGTTTCGCTCTCGTTGCCCAGGCTGGACCACCTGGCCCACAATAACTTTAATAACTTTTTTTTTTTGAGATGGAGTTTCACTCTTGTTGCCCAGACTAGAATGCAATAGCACAGTTTCAGCTTACCGCAACCTCTGCCTCCCAGGTTCAAGCAATTCTCCTGCCTCAGCCTCCCGAGTAGCTGGGATTACAGGCTTGCGCCAACACGCCTGGCTAATTTTGTATTTTTAGTAGAGACGGGGTTTCTCCTTGTTGGTCAGGCTGGTCTCAAACTCCCTACCTCAGGTGATACACCGGCCTCAGCCTCCCAAAATGCTGGGATTACAGGTGTGAGCCCCTGCACCTGGCACTTTTTTTTTTTTTTGAGACAGAGTCTCACTCCATTACCTAAACTGGAGTGCAGTGGCCTGATCTTGGCTCACTGCAACCTCTGCCTCCTGGGTTCAAGCTATTATTGTGCCTCAGCCTCCTGAGTAGCTAGAATTACAGGCACGTACCTGTACCAATACCACGCATGGATAATTTTTGTGTTTTTTAATAGGGACAGTGTTTTGCCATGTTGGCCAGGCTGGTCTCAAACTCCCGACTTCAAGTGATCTGCCCACCTCAGCCTCCCAAAGTGTTGGAATTTCAGGTGTGAGCTACCATGCTTATCTTCACAATAACTTTATTTATTTATTTTTTTTTTGAGATGGAGTCTCACTCTGTCACCAGGCTGGAGTACAGTGGCGCAATCTCGGCTCACTGCAACCTCCCCCTCCTGGGTTCAAGCAGTTCTCCTGCCTCAGTCTCCCAAGTAACTGGAACTATGGGTGCGCGCCACCACGCCCAGCTGTTTTGTATTTTTAGTAGAGACAGAGTTTCACCATGTTGGCCAGGATGGTCTTGATCTCTTGACTTTCTGATCTGCCCACCTTGGCCTCCCAAAGTGCTGGGATTACAGGTGTGAGCCACCGTGCCTGGCCC